ATCAATAGGGCTGTCCTCTTGAGCTAACCAGTGTGTTTTCTGCACTGGTGGCCCATGGTGCCTAGACAGTTACTTGAAAAGGCCTCCGTTCCTTGCATTAAGGTAACTGGCCTTTGAGAACTACACTAATACATTCCATAATAAAAAAATATAATAATAATATAAAAAAATTACAAACACTCATAAAATGAGAGCCTCCAACATTATCTTACTTGAAGAGGGTGAAGGGAACAACTGTACAGAGGTAATTAAAGGCCTCTGTTGAAGGAACTAGTACACCCTCATCATACTATACTTAACACACAATAACCCATAAATTTTAACATGCCTTTACCATAATTTTATATTACTTATCTCTACTAATTTCACTTATTTTTAACATCTTTATTTTTAGAATAATTATAAAATTCGTATCGAAAATTCTCAACAAAATTTCAAAAACATAAAAACTTAATATCCTTCCCTATGAATAATTTAAATAGCTTAAAATTCGTTACTTAATTTGCTCACACATAATTATGAAAATTAGAAAAATTAATGAACATGAATTTCAGATTTTCTCAAAACAAATTGCAGAAATTTTAACCAAAATTGAAATCAAAACTGTAGAATTCGCAACATATTAAATAATTTAGTTCCTGAGCTAAATTCACACGAATGTAATACATTTTGAGCTGTTGAAAAAGCGGAAGTGCAAATAATTTTCTGTCGCACATACTTGCAAACACTAACTCAGATCGACCTTGAACTCGCTGTAAGGCTTAATTCCTAAACGGTAATTCACTGATGATTTAAAGCACTTTTTTTCTAAATATTGTAGAGATCGGCGAAGCAAATTCAATATTCCTTTTTACTAGGCATTCGAACTTCTCAATTTATCGAGAGATTACTTTCAATCTATAAACACTACGCGTGATTATTTTTTTGAAGCACTTGCAAAACACCACAGCAGAAGAATGATCTGTTATTTTTTTAAACACTGAAAAAACAAACTTGATGATTCACTTCTTTCACATTATCTTGGATTTATCACAAAACGATGATTTGAAGAGCAGAACTAAATTTTCCATTGAGGTTTCAGGCTGCAGGAAACTATCCTACCGGCTTAATTGTCATAATATAAGCAAAGAAAAAAAGACGGAACACTGTAGATGCGTGATTAGATCCATATTGAAGAATTTGATTGCGTAGTATTTAAAGAACTTGGCAGTCGAGGCAGTTTTAATTCCATTTTTATTTCCAATTGATATTTGTGGCCACAATCACTTGGCACTCTACTCGTGCCTTTCCACAGAAGATTTACATTTTTGATATTGTTGAGATAGAAAGCAAGCCAGGGAAATTACATCTCAGCACAGCACAGAGCAAAAGCTGAAGTGCGTAGTTATGCAAGATGGAAGCACGCGAAGAGAAAAGTTTTGGTTTACAATTCGGTGATTGGTTGTCAAGAGACATCTGGTATTAACGGTTACGTAAGATCGCATGATTAATTTGAATGACGCAATGCAGATAAGTTATTACGATTTTAGAATAGAGAGGAAGAATTAATCTTTATAGTTTAAACTATAATTTTGATTCATATATTTTTATCTTACATATATATATATATCTTTGCAAAATCGTTACAAAAGTGTGTGAACACTATTTGTATTCTCTGTCCAATTTTCAAAAGTATATAATAAACCATCCTTGTATGCTATTCAATAAACAAGGAGTGTACAAATAATTTTGCAACTGGATTTTGAACAATATAAGTTCTTTTTATAGGATCTGGACTGAGATCTTTGGAACAGTTAACCAATTACTTCTTCTTATTTGCCTGGTCATTTGTGATCTAGATTGCAAACCTCACTTTCCACAACAAGAGCAAATTACACAGGAATCTTAAGCAGCTGAAAAAAGTTCGATAGACCAAATATTAATCACCCCAGTGACTTTTCTTTTATGGGGGGGGGCAGAAGAACTGCCTGATGTAATTTACCGAAAATTTCGGCTGTTCTTCAAAACTTATTCAATTTTGTCAAATATAGCACGGCTGCCGAAAATGACGGATTTTTAATCAAAGATTAAATTCCAACTTGTTAGCAGCACCACTATTTTAAGTGATAATGAGATTAAATTTTGAAATCAAACAGAAATATGAATGAGTTTAATACAATTTTATAAAATTAGATAGATGGTAGACCTTGAAAGAAAGATGACTAAAAATAAATGCATTAAAATGAAAAACCTGATTAAATTTTCAGCACTTGTGTGATTTTCCGTTACTCTAATAATCTTCCTCAAAGATATAATTGAATCCTTTAGACATTAAGCGAATTTCTTTCTTCAGTTAACTTAACCAAGTAAAAATTTTCCAAATTGATTTTAACGTACATCGTATTCTTCTAAATCCAAATTAACATGGATAATTAAACAGTGCACACCTGTTTAATTAAAAAGACTTCAAAATGCAAACTAACAGCTGTTCCTTCGCCAGATGTAATCCCCATCTGCCGATTTCAAATCGATGTTAAATCACTCATTACACATATAAACTGTAAATTAGAAAAATATGCTAAAATGTTGATTACATTTTAGGGATTTATATTTATTTTAAATAAGCAATTTTGTTTAATTTTACGTTCTTTTCTATAAACCTCCATTCCTCTAATTGCCAATACCAGAATAGTTAAATTTGGTAGCGCGCGTGAAGAAATGCAAATGTTATGCTGAGGAGAAAAAATTTAAATACAGAGTTCTAGAAGGAAATTAGAGAGTTTTGGGTATTCGTCGTCAGCTCTGTAGCGTGACCTTCCATTTCCGCAGTTATTGCTGGTTTACGTTGCAAAACAGCTTTTATTTTGCTGCCACTAGTTTTCGACGCAGTTTTAAGTAACAGGAGTTTTCTGAGCCTTGTAGCTTAATTTCTTTTACTTGTTAATATCTTCGAATTTTTAGTTTAGTTCTTGTTATTTCAGTTACCGTTCGAGTGAGGCGTAGTGTGTTAGCGTCAAGTTGACGCATTGTGAATTTTAAAGCGTTTAATAAAGGGTACTTTTAACCCTTCTCCTGTGTAGTTCCTACACGTACAGTTGCCACTTAGAAGATAAGCAAGTGGTTCCTACATCTGGCTCCCGAATTGCTATTCGAAACCGATGGCCAACGGACAGGACAGGCAATCATCCCCACAATATTCAGAAGTCGCCAGCTCGATGCGGTGGCAAGCTCTTTGGATGGATTTGGTTTTCTAATACAGAGAGTAAGAGCATCCATCAAACCAGCAATGGCATTCAACGGTCAGAACTCCGTCACTTCATTTTGGGAAGCCCTTGATACTCACTTCTAGTCGTATCCGGTACCCGAAAGACAGAAGGTAGCCATTGTTTCGAGTGCTCTCCGAGGACAGGCGGAGTCTTCGTGAAAAAGGATTGGAAAATTCTTACTTGGAGAAGTCGGGAGCCTCACCTACAATTTTAAAAATTTTAAAGCGGCACTCCTAAAGGCCTTCCCGATAGTTAAAGATTGTGCGAAGCTTGAAGCTGAACTGTACAGCTTTTACCAACGGAGAATTGAGGACCTCGCACAGTTCATTCTACGTAAAGTCAAGCTAGTGAATATGCTGTACGGTAGGAAGCCCGATAGCGAAGTCATTGAAATTATATTACCAAAAGGTTATTACGAGCATTACAAGATTTAATGGAGCTGAGAAACCCACGAACGCGGCAAGAATTATTTGAATTAGCCGTAAAATGACAGAATCGGGGGATAGTAGAAAGTTCTACATTTCCTACTCGGGGATATCATCAGCAGTTTTCCCGACAGCGGCCATAGAAAGAAATAAGTACGACTGAGGGAGACGTGTTTTAGCCAAGCCGTCAACAAGTAAGAATGAAAAGGATAAGGCCAAAGACCACCAGCGTACCCAGAACACACTAGGAGGAAAAAAGGCTTTAAACGAATAGAGGGGCCTGAGAATTTTTAGGGTCCAGACCCCTTGTGCATCACAAAATCTTTCTAAGGTGCATTTAAATACAGTGGTAGTGAAGAACTCCTAACTACCTGTAATACAGGTTCTTTTAAACAATGTACCCGTGGATACCGGAGCAAAATGAAACTTTTTAAATCTCTATTATGTCTCTATTATAGAAATTTTCGAAAAGTAAGGCTATTTAAAAACAGCACTACGGAATTCACAGCCGCTCAATGTAAAGTTTGTGAATGTGTGGGGAAGCTGTCGCTTAACGTACAGGTGAAAGACGAAAACTTTAAAGTTTAATTTTTCGTGCTGAAAAATTTACAAAATAAAATAATTTTAGGAACAGAATTTCTTAGGGACGCGAACACAAAAATTGATTTTGCAAATAATTCCATTATGTTCGATATGGTGCCGAGGGTGGTGGAAGACGGAAGCATGCCAGAAGTCGACCTCCAGCATCTATAGCAAGGTTCAAGAGCCAAGCTGGAAGAACTCGTAAGTAAATTTTCTACATTATTTTCTGAAAAGCCGGGGAAAACGCAGATAGTCACTCATTCCATTGAATTAAAATCAAGCTAACCGATCAACCAGTACTAAAATTACTAATTACTTAATGTTAAATTATTAAATTAATAGTTTTTAATCATTCTTCCTGCTAAGCCCTCTGCATTAAGAATATACTTTATATATATTTAGTTGGAAATACCACGTGACCCGAAATCTTCCGCGATTGAAAATCTGTCTTATTTGATTATTCCCACCAAAACCACGGTCTTACATCTTAACCGTTATGAAGATATCGAACTAATTCGAAATTTATATCCAAAGAAATCTCTAAACTTCTTGTTTAGAAATAACAGGCAAATCATTCATTTCATAAAAATTTACCAACTGAAAAAAAATTATTATCAATTATTACTTTAATGGATATAAAAACCAAAATTTACTGTACTGCATCGTAATTGTTTTTTTCATCATCTCTGTAAAAGACATATCGATAAGAAAACGTAATAAACAGATGGAATTTTAGTAGCTAACTTACTACTTCATTATCTCCTATGATATCCAGAGCCATTTCAAATTGTTCTAGAAAAGAAAAACTTTGATTTAGTAATGTAGTTGAATTATAGTTCATTTTGTTACATAAGAGAGAGGTTAGGTACAAATACAGATACAACACAAATACAATACGGGGTGTGTATGCATGCGAAAGTTTTCTTAAAGGATTTCTCACGGTAAAACAATCCTTCATGTTCATCGTGCACAGTAGTGACACTATGTAATAAATAACACGTGTACATCTCATACTATGGATAGTCATAATTGCATTGTAAACAGTAGTAGAAGCTATTGTTTGCGATTGGAAGCCAAAAAACGTATTTGTCCTATATTGCTTACAAGGTAAGCATTATTATTCACTGCATTTTGAATAACAATTTTATTATGCTTTTTCTGTTTTATACTTTTAGTTAAACGACTCATACGACATTTTTATGTAAGAATTGTCGCACAAAAAAGTGTTAATAAAAGCCGCATTATATTATATGACAAAATGATCCTGGAGCCATTTTGCCTTAGTTTTACCTTATGTTATTGAAGAATCGTTTCGCTTTCTAACTTGTTATGTTACAGTTTCAGTAAAGAAAGTTAAAATCGAAGCAACTATGGAACCAGTTGATAGCTTGTTATTTAGGTATTTACGTATTATCTCAATCACCTTAGGAGAAGTCACCGGACTTTCAAAACGTTTCTAATTCTGGCAACCATTCGCTTAACCAATCTTCTGGCAACCATGCTCATAGCAATCCTTCAGTCAACCTACGCCGTTATTTTTATTTGTATTTTTTGTTCTATTTCAAGCTAGAAATGTTTTTATAGATAAATCATGCTATTTTTTGCCTTAAACTTGATTTTAAAATGTCACTAATGAAATTTACCAGCAGTAGAAAAGCTGCGGTAACAATATTGCAGGAATGTAGCATTTTGAGTCAAAATTGCTAAAGGGAACAGTGCCGATTTTGTGCAATTCTCTAGCGTTTTTTTAAGTGAAAGCAGATCACTATGTAAGACGAAAATCGCTATTAAGACGAAAAGCAGCACTAAAAAATTATAGGAGTATTTCGTAAAAAAATGCCTTTTATTTCTTTTTTAATGTAATCTTTATTTGATGATTAAAATTTGTATTTAAAATTTTTGAATATGTTGATAATGCGATTATGTTGATAATGTTTGCGACTTAGGATAAATATCGACAGTTTGAAGAATGTTTCTAAAAAGGTCTTGAAAACAACCAACTTAAACCCGACATGTAACTTTTTTACCTTTTCGTTTATAAAAATCCCTAAACTACGTGGTGTTGATTAATACTTAAGTACCGTTATTTAATACGAATCATTTGAGTAGGGCTATATTTTTAAAGAAAACTCAATTTTAATAGATTTGGTAAATAAAAATTTTTATGAAATTAATATACAGATGTGCCAGTATAGTTCGGCTTTGAGAAGGCGTTTGAGTCACATGGTTTCAGATGGTTCCATTCTTCAAATACGGTAAGTGGTTATGTTTCTGTGGTAAATAACCATAGTGGTTTCCTGATTTGGCATTGTCATCCCGTTTCTTGATTAGAAATTGTAATTTGAAATTAATGATAAAGTTATAATCATTAGTGAATATAAGAGTTGTAATCAAAAGAATTGTTTGGCAAAAAGTACGGTCGCCAAGCATAATCTGGCAACCCCTACTTAATTGAACCTGGTACGCCCTGCTATTGAACGGCTGCAAAGTCCTACGCCAAGGCTAAGGGCATACTCGGAGTACACTAGTTGCAGGTAAAAAATTCTGAAAGCTAACGTTTATGTTTATCGTTAAGTATCAGTTAATAGTTAGATCACATGCGTTACACTTCCGTGTCTGCGTTGATTGTGCATAAATGGTAGCACGTGCATGATTGAGCATGATGCATGATTTTTGAACATGCCCAGTCCGTGCATGATTTTTTTAGTACATCCTTATAAATCAAAAGCGGAATAAGAGGGTTGCAGATTAACCATGTCTCATCTAAAAAAAAGTTAAGTTTATCTATTACGAAAAGATGGGGAAAATCTTTTCGCGGAACCTTAAAACCCAGTATAGTTTCCTTCAGAGAGTTTCTGATATGAAAGAACAACTAGGGCTGAAGTGGGAGGTGGAAAATCTCATCAAATCACAATGTTCAGTTGAAGGAGGGAAGTACATGGTTAGGATAAATCTATCAAGTGAGGTTTCTAAGAAAGAAACAAATGACTTAATTCTAAATGCTGTAGCCTTGGAGACTATCCATGAATTGTACCCAGATAATGAGTGGCTGCATGTGTTTACAGACGGCTCCATGTTGAATGACCGTATCAATGCTAGCGCTAGTGTCTTCTGCAGGCTCTTCTCATTTTACACTCCTGTTGAAAGGTCTAAAATAGTCTTTGACGCGACCTCTGCAATTAAAATCGCCTTGCCCCAGCTCCAATCTGAAAAATTTTCAAGGGCTGTTATACTATGAGATTCTAGAGCTGCCCTCCTGACCATTGCTTCATCCGAAGCACCTGTTTCTGCTGATATTTTAAATATTCATCTGCCCCATAATGATTTAATCGAAAGACACAGAGATTGCTTTGCAGTGGGTAGCAGCACACTGTGGACTCCAGGGTAATGACATAGCTGACTCCCTGGCAAAGAAGGCAACCAAAATTGCTCAAATAACAGATAAACCTGTTCATTTTTATACCTTTGTTTTTTTTTTATGCCATTCGGTTTTTACCTGAATTTGGAAGAACTCTACTCAACTTGGAGAGCTTTACATATACACGCTTTTCTGCTTACGAGAATAAAGTAAAGAAACAGCTGGAACGACTGAGCCAAAAACGGTTGACATTGAGCAAATTTTTTCATTATCGACAAAAATCTTTAAAAAAATTGAATTTTTTAAAATATGCGAAATAGTGAATTGTGCGAAAATCGAGAGCCACCTGTATTATACATATAAATTCAAACCGTGGATTGGCGGAAATCCTGGCTTGGATACCACTTTAAAACGATATGTTTGATACTATTTCTGTTGTTAGGCCTATTTCGATATATCTGTCGCCAAGGATTTTCGTAAAAGCTGTAAATATCTTGAAATAAAACTCTAAGACCTACTGTAGATTTTCTACCCTATATTTGAAATTCAGCTTTCACAAAAATTTCAAAATTTTAAGTATGAAAATTTTATTCATTAATGCAATATCGACTTCTTTAATAATTCTTCAATCTTTGAAGAACATTTTAAAAAACAAATCTTGAAAAAAGACTTCGGCCTTAGAAGTTTTGTGAAACACACCTTCTAAGAGGCAACAAGTTTGAATTATAAATATAAATGTGTATAAATTACCGCATCTGTGTCTGTCTACTTTATCCAGTATTTTTCTACTTTGTATTTGGTATCTGCACTTCATGTTCTCTGTACATATTGTATTATGTAAAGCATTTACACTTCAGCGGTGCAGTGTATACTCAAATTCCCAATTTTGGATCAGAAAAATCCTCGCCTAATCTTAAAGGTTCCATTGCATTCACCAAAAGTGATGGTATGGTGTGGATTTTCTGCATCATTTATTTTCGGCCAGTATTTCTTCGAGGAGTTAAGTTCTACAGATCTAGTGACATACTCGATCACCGGGCAGCGATATGCACTGCTCTTAAATTGTTTCAGCACTGCAAGCACATCAGCGAATTGCACTCAAAATCTTTATGCAAGATGGAGCTACTCAACATATTCCAAGAAATGTTCTTAAACGCCATTTAGCAGAAGAATGTGTCATCCGCACTTTCGTAATGTGTAGCCTCTCCGATCCCCAGACCTCAGTCCATGCGATATTTAACTTTTGGATCATTTGAAACAGAGGGTGACAGTCCAAGAATTTTACCTGATTTTAAAGCCAGCATTTCACGCCACGTGATCAATATTTCCCAGCGCACACTTCAGTCAACTGTGTAAGATGCCATCTTGCGATTTCAGATATCAGCTGGAAAGGATGTTCATCGTCTGGAACATGTTTGGTTGTAATAAAATTTGTAAAATCTATTGTAAAGGTGTCGCTAAACATGTAATTTTTTAATGCAATGCTCTTTGCTCGAGATATTTGTAACTAGTGTTTTTTCTCTGAAAGATATATTACCATCCCTTCATTACGTCCGCCACAAAATTTCATGATTTTCTAATGACTGGTTTCGCCTAGAGGCAGCTTTGAAATAGGGTTTTTTAATTCTGGACACCCTGTGCATACGTACGTACAGATGTCAGGAAAAAAGTCCTATATGTGTGTATGTACAGTCGGTCAAGCAAAAAAAATCATCCAAGTGAATCCGAGAATTCTCAAAAAGGGTATTTCCTTTGAAATGTGATACCCGAAGTTTTTCGCGATTACAATATTCCCTTTACTTCGTACAAGGAAGTAATAAAATTACCTAAATACGAAAGTTAAACGCAGTGAACCCGCTCTAAGGCGACCATTTACGGTTCTAAACCATTTACCCTTCTAATGAAGCTGTTCGTCTTCGAAAGATGAGATTTAATGCAGTAAAAATCCTTTCCTTATTTCAATATAACGGATACTGAACCTTGTAAGAAGAACAAAGCTAAATTTTCAGAATGAACAAAATATTTTTATTTGAATTTTAGAACAGAACCAAAAAATTAAATGCTGCAGCTCTTAACTATTAAAATTTTAAACTCTTAATTACTACAGTTAAAACTCTTACAACTATTAAAATATTTAAAAAAAATATTTTGTTCATTCTGAAAATTTAGCTTCGTTCTTCTTACAAGGTTCAATATCCGTTATATTGAAATAAAGAAAGGATTTTTACTGGCGCAGTCGAACGAAATTACATTTGAACACTGGCGTATTCATTACTTTGACAAGTAAATAAACTAAGATTCCATGACGGAAATAATAATTAACTTTTCATAATCTTAATTCATTATTTTACGTTTACAAGGTAAATTGAGCTCTCAACTGAGTTATTTTGGTTCGTAATTATATGCGGGGAAACCCCGATCCTGCCGGCTGCGCCAGTAAAAATCCTTTTCTTGTTGCCACACCGTAAAATGCAATTTCTTGTCCTATTATTTATATTTCACGTTCTCTTTAAGTCATGATCTTTACAAGTCACGATCTTTACAAGTCACGATCTTTACAAGTCACGATCTTTACAAGTCACGATCTTTACAAGTCACGATCTTTACAAGTCACGATCTTTACAAGTCACGATCTTTACAAGTCACGATCTTTACAAGTCACGATCTTTACAAGTCACGATCTTTACAAGTCACGATCTTTACAAGTCACGATCTTTACAAGTCACGATCTTTACAAGTCACGATCTTTACAAGTCACGATCTTTACAAGTCACGATCTTTACAAGTCACGATCTTTACACGATCTTACAAGTCACGATCTTTACAGTCACGATCTTTACAAGTCACGATCTTTACAAGTCACGATCTTTACAAGTCACGATCTTTACAAGTCACGATCTTTACAAGTCACGATCTTTACAAGTCACGATCTTTACAAGTCACGATCTTTACAAGTCACGATCTTTACAAATACCAAGGTTTTACAGCTATACTGGTCACTTTTGGAAGCGGTCCTCTAACAAAGGTTTTTTACTATGTTATAAAAGATTAAGCAATAACTAAAAAATTTCGAATAAAATATGTCTGAAAAATTTAGTGATATTTTTTATCTATTATTTATAAAAGTGTTTAAATATAAAATTAAATATAAGAAATTCTTTTTAAAGCGGCCACTGACCATTCCATATCGTTTTAGTCTTCTGTGGATGTGGTCATCATAGAAAGATATCCTTGAGTACCTATATTTTTATTCTTAGAAACACTGGTCATCTTAGGAACCAGAGCCGTATATATTCTTTCGTACGAAAATAGTGTCATATATATCTACTTTGAAAAATTTGCTATTAAATCTTTTAGGTATAATTTTTTAATTTGGGTCTTCTTAATGAATGGTATAAAAACGAATCACTTTTCTATAATATTCCTTTCTTGAAATGGCCACCAGTAGCCGAAGAGTAAAGTCACTGAACAGTGGTAGTTTGACTTAGCGAACGAAATCGCTGGTTGAGATTTTTGTGGTTTTCCTTATATATAATGTGGATAAAGGCAATTTCTGAGAAAGTTCTCAAAAATGGTTTTCCTTCCGTTAGGCAGATATCCTTAATGTGCTTTGAAATAATCCAATAAATCGAAATCTCTTACTGAAATGTTATGTAGCTTCCTCCTGACATGTTTCATCATAACTAGCGAATCAGCATCCAAACGAGGTTGTACATAAAAATGTTAATGACACTTTTAAGAAGACTAATGAACTGAACTAAAAAAGGCTTAAATTTTACTAAAAGAATATCAGACTAACGTAGGTAATCTCATGCAATTACTTATTTCCCTTTTCTAATTTTTTAGACTATATTTTTCGTGAGAAATGCCAATACAGATGTTTATAAAAATTTTTTATAAATGTTTAATTTTTTAAAAGAGATTCATTAAATAATGACTTTTAATACTTAAGTCCATAAATTTAAATTCTGCTAACTATGTAGCATTAATTACACACTTGTACATAGCATTAATACATATATGCTCATACCTACATTAAGTTCCTACTAATTTTCAGCTTTTGAATGCTTAAATTACCTTCTTGTGTGTTTCGAAAAAAAAATCATTAATTAATCCAAAAATATGAAATATTTAGAGGTAAAAATATTCTTCATACTACTTACATATGCACCTGCAATTTTTAGAGCCTGAAAAATACATGTCTGTGATGTAGGTCATGAGATGATTTGTAGGTGCTTTGATTTTACCACAATATTTTTTTACGACGGTGTTATAAAACTGCGATGTTTTTGAACGGCTTTATTTTAGATGACGATGTTTCAGAACTGCGATTTCGACGACGATATTTTATAGTACGATGTTTTAGAATGAAGATGTTTTCTCCTAGCTTTCTTTTCTCGCACCATGTTTTGTACGATGATGTTTTCGCTTTGCGTTGTTTTCTTCTCGATGTATCGGTGAACACCAAATACCCATGTCCTTGTCTTTTACAACAAAACAAGGGACATTCCAACTTTTTCAGTGTGCCTTTCGTGATCAGCACTTCCAATTAACAGTGGACATTTTTACTTCGGTAACAAAATGTGTGTATAATAATGAATGTCGCCCAGACGACATAGTGGTTATTGTCACTCACTGCTGCACCAAAGGGCTGGATTCGAATCCTGGAGAAGTATGGATTTTTTAAATTCAGTGTGTGTGAGGCATAGGGGCACTCAAAATAAAGAACCGAAATCCTCTCGAGAGGTTGGAGGTAGAGAAAGAGGAGTGAGAGACCCTTGGACAACCCCCGGGAGGCTCTTCCTTGGAGTTCCAACCAGGCATAATCCTAATCCTTAAATGCATGTAGTTGCCATTTGGCAACATACTCATATTTAGTTACGTAAATCAAATGAAAACACACATTTTAGCTTATTCGCATAGTATAACCAATTGGATACATACTGTTTATATATATAGTTTTGAAACTTTCAGTGTGGTAGCCCCACTAATGGTGTAACAGTCATTATTGTGTAAGTTGATGTGTAAGGTGTGGACATCATTTGTGTTTACGAATTTTTGATTTTGTGTTTGTTGTTATTTTGATATATTCATAGTTTTAAAATTGTTTGAACAAGTTTATAAGGTATGTATTGTTACATAAAATTGTTATTACACATTTTCTTATCATATTTTTTTTTTTGTAAAAGTTAATAACACTTTTTCAAAACTTGGAACAAAAAACTTAAGTTTAGATATTTTTACTATTTCATTTGATATCAATTCTAATATATTTTTTACTTTAAAAATAAAAATAAAAAATCATGCATTTAAGGGTTAACAGTTGGCAAGGCCCGGCGATATCTAATATGCCAAAGTGGATGTGCATAAATAGCAGGTCTCTGTATCTGTACAACAATGAATGGGCGAGATAGCATCCACGAACTCCGTAACTGACCAAAATGCAGTTGACGAACTTTTACGTTGCCTTTTACGTTAACGAACTTTAACGTACAGGAAAGATTTTTGCAAATGTTCATCAGGAGTTCTTTGATGAAATTGTATTGAGAAATTACTATTATTTAAACTATTATTTATTTTTAGTATTTTCAGTAGTTTTTAAAAGGGAATCTCTTATATTCCCTTGGCTGTTTTGCAATAAATGAAAAAAAATTCTCAAGCGTGTATTAGAAAAAAGTGTTAAATAAAAAATGAAAAACGTGTCTTTAGCAGGGCAAAACTTTTCAATTAACGTTAAAAAAAGAATACTTCATCAAAAATACTAAATAATTTAATTCAATTATTGCCAATAAAATTTACTTACTCAGATCGCAAAAAATGTGAGTAAAGCACATGCATGTGGCTTGTGCATCTTCATCAAAATCTGCAGCACGAACACATATCGTTGTTATAAGAATTAGTATAAATATCGTGAGCATTTTACCTTGAATAAACCAAACTGAAAAGCAATAAAGAAATTTTAGAGTGTTCCAGATTGCTTTCCTTTGAGAAACTGAGCATAATGTAATTAAAGCAACAACATTAGTTGGTTTTATACTCTGGCTTGTGCCACGGTTACACCTATTGTCATACTCAGGCTTCCTGATTTCATATAAAACGTGATACCTTCCTGGTTTAAAAAAAATTTTTAAACTCATTTTGCTATTCATTGCGAAAACTTTCATGCAAATCCCAGTAAAAATAACAAAAAAGTATCATTTGAGTTGGAAAATACCGAGATGTTGTTTAGAAATGAATGTTTCCTGCAAAGGGAATATCATAAAAGCTGAGGGAAAGTAAATATTGATTTAAAAGCATAGCATTTTTAAAATTTATTTAAAATGGAATAAATATCATCAAAATAATCATGTTTAATTCTTTGTCTTGCGTCTGTTTGAACGCGTATTGTATCTAATTCCATTTAATTACCGTATTTACCGGCGTATAAGACGCACGCCTATAAGACGAACCCCACTTTTTTTGAAGAATTTAATTTTATTATTGATAATTATAATGAATTTACAGTATTTTAAATATAAAGTAATACAGAGTAATACTCTCTGCAAATGCCCAATGTACCTGGGAAAGAACACCTTTTAATCTTCTTCGTCAAAACCCAGACACTCATCTCCAGAGATAAATGAAGAGTCACTTGAAACCTCTTCTAAATCAGCATCTGAGTCCTCATACAACAAACTGTCCTCTGTGCCATCCAGTTCATTACTAATGCCACACTCCTTAAATGATTTAACACCACTCTCTCTGTTTTCACAGCATCCCATGAAGCTTTGACCCATTCACAAACTTGCAAAATGGCCTTCTGATGGTGTAACCTCAAAATGTGAAGACTGCATCTAACTGTTTCACTGCTCCTTCATAAATCCCTTCAACACTCCGCAAGAAAACAAACAAAACAAAACAAAACAAAACAAAACAAAACAAAACAAAAAAAAAAACCCGCATAATTCCAGATAGCGTAATGGCAAACTGCACATTCAGTTGATCACTGTTAAACGAATTTCGCATACTGCGCATGCCCAGAAGAGAATTTGGCGCAATTACGACTTTGGTACATTTTTAAAAGAAGATAAATACGGTGTGTCGTTGATATTCTGTTATCTAGGCGGAAAAAGTTCGTTGTTTTAAAACTTTTTAGGTTGTAAGTTGCTTTTACTTAGTAACTATCGATTGTAAACTACTCAAAGTTTCGTTTAAGAATGATTACAAAACAGGAAACATTACAGGATATATTAGCTGAATCTTTATTGAATATACTTGTGAGGAATAAAAGCAATTGCGTATGGTAAATAACTATGTTCCATTCGCATATACTTTAATAATAAATCCAGTTAAAGAAAATAAGAATAAATCCAGTTTAAATTACTGAATTAAAGTCAAGTAAATTATTATAAATAACTGATATTAAATATAACGTTTATGAACAAAATAAACCAAAATGAAATTAAGTAGAAGCAAATGCATTAAGCACATATAAATTTCGGTAGTATTGTAAATACTCGATAAGACCCACATGATGAACAGGCTTGTGTAGTGTTGTTTATACATAGTCGCCAGTATTTCCTGCCACGCCAACGGTACACCACTGAGCATGTGCAGTAAGGGAAATTCGTTAACGTTGATCAACTCAATGTGCGGTTTGCCATTATAAGACGCTGTACCGACGTATAAGACACATTCCTTTTTCAGACTTATTTTCAATGAAAACAAGTCCGTCTTATACGCCGGCAAATACGGTAACTATTAATTTTAAACTCATAATTATGAATTTTATCTCCTTAACTAACATCAATGATGCAATTAGCACTAATAAACTGCATATTTATTAAACTTATAGTAACTTAATAATTTAGAACTGAAAGCAGTTAATATTTAAAAAAATGTACAGTTTAATTTTCTTTAATTATGGAATATGATGTCTATGTTATACAGTATGGTTAATAAAAGAAAAATATTTGTTTTATTTCCTTAAACGCAGATTGATGCTCTCAACAGTCTGAGAAAGTGGTCTCAGTAGAAAACGATCTAACTTTTTATATTGTCTTTATGATAAAACACTCCGTTAGTAAAATATTTATTTAATTTTGTTACTTAAAAATGCTAAATAATGTCTATAATTTCTAATTAATGTTCCGATAATTTCTAACGAATTCTAATAGAGAGTTAATTTTTTACACTTTAATTCTTTAACTGAATTATAATATAAAAAAATTCAAATTATTCCTTATGAATGCGACTTCATACACTGCTAACTCTAGATAAAATAAACGGAGATCGTCTGTGTAGTTTATCTTATGTCTTCTGTGTGAATAAACTTTCATACAATTTAAAAAATTAGTTTTAGAAATATTATGTCTTATGCAATAAAACACAAACAATAAAAATTTAAAGTGTCTTCAATGCAATAAAAGACAGTGAAAAAATTGTTTTAAAATAACTTTTTAATTACATAATATAGTTTAAGTTTTTAAAATTAATATCTAAAATACGCTTGGATTTGGAGTGATATCTTCTTTCTTTGAATAGCTATATGTTTACGCTTCGGCTTGGGGCTGAAAAAGTTTTTTCGCATGTTTAGACGTATACTGCGGGGAGAAAGGGGGGAGGGGGTTCAGTTCTATATCTCCCGTTCTATTTGGCCAATTGACGAAATTCAAATCGCGTTTTTCATGTCTCGAAAGCGCGACTTAAGATCCCCCATAACACAAGACATCCTCAGGATATCCTATTTAAGTCGCAATCTCCCGGGAAGCAGGATATCCTGAGGATGTTGATTCTCAGATATCCTGAGGACTTCTTAAGTCAACATCCTGAGGATATCCTATTCAAGTCTCAATGTCCCGGAATATATGAAGATCTCCTCAGGATGTTGATTTTCAGATATCCTGAGGACATCGTAAATCAACATCTTAAGGATGTCCTGTTCAAGTCGTAATGTCCCGGGATATATGAAGATCTCCTGAGAATGTTGTTTCTCAGATATCTTCAGTGCTTACTTTTTATGGAAGCTCATATCTGAAAATATTAAAGTAACCTTGTACCACACGCAAGTCATGTTATAAGAATCGAAATCTTACTCTATGGATTACCTATTCTGCATATGAAAATTTAATTGTTATGCTTACACTGGATTTCGTCTTGTATATGTTGGCTGTAAATATTAAGTAATAATATTTTCAAATTTATTTTGTTGTTTCACAGTGCCTATTGATCAGAGAACTTTCTTACAAGTTATAGGCACGTGTTTTTCATTCGTTTTTGAGTTTCATATTGAAAGTATGTTTACGATTAAATTCTAATTGCTACATAATATATTTCGTAAACATTATTTTAGATACTTTTCTAATATCTTTGAACACAAATATTATGTACGTTACAGGTTAACTCAGAAAATCTTTTACGAAGACATTTATCCTTGAACAGAATGAAAGATGGTACTTGATGTGTAATTTCATTATGAAAACAGTATATGGCATTCGAATCACCAAATATTATGTACGTTACAGGTTAACTATCTTTACGAAGACATTTATTGAAACAGACATGATGTGCATCCATGCCTTATATGGCATTCGAATGAGCCTTCTGACGGCAATCGGTCAATATAATCACTTACCCGTCTCTGAGGCACTAATCAGAACTATCAAGTTATAAAAGTATTCTATTAAATTCATCGATAGTTCTTAGCATAGAAATAACTATACTTTGAAATTGCATAAGAAAAAAAAAACTTTTTGATCTGTTACACACTATTATATTAGTAATGAATGATGTTTAGTGCTGTGCAGTAATAAGTAACAATATTTTATTTATTTATTTATTTTTAACAAACGAAATTTTAGTTTACAGACGCAGTTAAAAACTAATCTGTACGAGGTTTAACTTGCTTTAATTTGAATTTATAAACAGAAAAATAATTTTATTGGGCTAAAAAATTCATTGCAGTTTCTTCGTTCATTTTCTGGTAAGTTTTTTTAATAATGAGAATTAGTCTTTCAAAGCGACTGAGGTAAGAAGTAACTTATTTTTTACCTCTCTGTAATAGGAAAATAAGGTTTGAGAATGGGAAGAACTAACATTAAGTTCTTACTCTCCTCAAACCTCACTTTGCTACCCCTTTAACCATACAAATATTCGGTCTTTGCTAAACAAAGCGCGAAAAAAATATATCCAGCGCTCTGCAGTCTTATACGTTATGCCGACAATGCTACACGACTCCTCATAATTTAACAATAATTGCTGCTTTATTAATTTATTTGTAACATCCAGAAAATGCAGTAAACACGTTTCTTCAAGGTATATAACACAAAGTTAAAGTTGTTATGAAAACTCAAAATTATAACGAATTAAATAGATGTTCAAACTTTAAATTAAAATGATTTAATTTTTAAATTAAACGCGTTCTTTAAACTCAGCAGTTATTACTTATTTTATACTGTAAATAGCAATTGAAGTTGAAAATCTTAAAGTTTTGATCATCATATCATTGGTTCGTAAAACTGCTTCTCAGCATTTCTTTGCTTTTGAGAAACCGAGCTCCGCTCAGAATGTAACATCTCTAAGCACGTTTTCTGTAGCCGATGCCCCAAGAAGATTTTTCTTTTGTTAACGTGGCAGATTTATGTTCCCTTCTTTTGTATCCCGCTACAAGGAAAACATCCCTTCCCCCTTCACAACAACAGGACGCAGCACAAACAAAGTCGCAAAACGCCCCCAACGGTTTTAATTGCTCCGGTAATAGTGATATCCTTGAAGAATCCCACAAAGTGGAAAGTACACGTACTTAACTTTCTGATTTCCCAGAATTCAGCTATTCTGCTAAACGTTAATAGCCGTCGTTCCAAATTCTCTTTCAGTTACGAACTGACTTGCTGACGCTTGCAAGCGTTACATTGACAGAATGTGAAAAGTAAGTTTCTAAATGTTTCCTTTATTCTACAAAAAATGATCAGAACTAAAAAAAAAAATATCTCAGATATCTAAAAGACGGATTTACAGCAGA